TTCTTACCTTTTTTTTTGCATTAGGTTATAACATGCTCCTTTAGCTCAGTGAAGTTTGTTATTAGCCACCTTCTGTAGCCTACTTCTGTCAATTCTGCCATCTCAGCCTCAGCCCAGTTCTTTGCCCTTGCTGGAGAAATGTTACAGTCATTTGGAGAAAAGACACTATGGCTTTTTCAGTTTTCAGCATTTTTACGTTGATTCTTTCTCATCTTTGTGGGCTTGTCTGCCTTTGATCTTTGATGTTGCTGACCTTTGAGGTTTTTATGGGGTCTTTTTTGTTGATATTGTTGTTGTTTTCTGTTTGTTTGTTTGTTTTTGCTTTTAACAGGCCACTCTACTGTAGGGCTGCTGCAGTTTGCTGGGGATCTGCTCCAAACCCTAGCTGCCTCAGTTTCTCCCATACCTGGAAGTATCACCAGTGAAGGCTGTGAAACAGCAAAGATGACAGCCAGCTACTTCCTCTGGAAGCTCCATCCCAGGGGAGTACTGACCTGTTGCCAGTCTGCATGTACCTGTAGAAGGTGGCTGGAAACCCCAGTTGGGATATCTCACCCAGTCAGCAGAACGGGATCAGGGACCCCCCCCCCCAACCAAAGAAGCAGTCTGACTGTTATTTGGTAGAGCAGGTGTGCTGCATTGTGGGGGACCCTTCCTTGTCCAGGACACCTGTATTCTCCAAAGCTGGCAAGCTGGAGCAGCTAAATCAACTGAATCAACTGAACCACAGAGATGGCGTCTTCACCTACCTCCAGGAACTCAGACCCATCTCTGGCAGACTCCAACCCACTGCCATTGTTTGCTGGGATTCCAAGCCAGTGCCATTGGCTTGCTGGGATTCCAGTGGGTCTTAACTTGTGAGGTGCCATGGAAATGGGACCCACAGAATGATATTTTTGGCTTCCTGGATTCACCTCCCTTCCTAGGGATATGTACTGATGGATTTATGTAAAACTCCTGGATCTCTGTGTGTGCCTGAGTGGCTGCTCTCTCAAGACTCCCACAGCTCTGTGTATCAGACCCAAGGCCCTGGTAGCATGGGCTCACGAGGGGATCTCCTTACCCATGGGCTGCAAAGATTTGTGGGAGAAGTGTGGTTTCCTGGGTGGGGCTGCACACTCACTCACTGGTTCCCTTGGCTGAGGGTGGTGGTTCCTTTGGCTCCATGCCACTCCTGGGTGGGCTGTTGCCCCCCCCCCCACCCTCCACTTTCTTTGTTCTCCATGAATTGTGTTTGCCCACTCAGTCCCAATGCAAGAACCTCGATATGTCAGTTAAAAGTGCTGAATTCACTCACCCCTTTTCATTCCTCTCTGTGAATGTTGTAGACTGCAGCTGCTTTTAATTGGATTGATCAACCTTTATGTTTTCTTTGGAGAAATGTTCTTTCAGATCATTTGCTCACTTTTAAATTGGCTTTTTTAATGCTATTAATTTGTAAGAGTTCTTTATAAAATTTGGATATTAACCCCTTATCAGATATGTGGTTTCCGAATATTTTTTCTAGTCCATAGATTGTCTTTTTTATTTTGATGATTGTTTCCTTTGCTTTGCAGAAGCTTTTTAGTTTGATGTAGTCCCATTTATTTATTTTGGCTTTTATAGTCAGAGTTTTTGGTATGATACCCCAAAAATTCATTGCCAAGGCCAATATCAAGGTGCTTTGCCCTATGTTCTCTTCTGGGAGTTTTATGATTTCAAGTCTTACATTTAGATCTTTTGTCAATTTTTGAGTTGATTTTGTGTACAGTATAAGGGTGCAATTTTATTTTTTTGGATATGGAAATTGTTTTTCCAGCCTCATTTATGGAAGAAACTATTGTTTCCCTATTTCTTCTGGCACCCTGATGGAAAATTAGTTGACTGTGTATGTGTGGACTTATTCTGGGCTCTCTCTTCCGTTCCATTGGTCTACTTTTCTGTTTTTATGCAAGTACTATATTGTTTTGGTTAGTCTAGCTTTGTAGTATAATTTTAAATCAGAAAGTGTGTACCTCCAACATTCTTTTCCTTCTCAGTTTTGCTGTCACTATCCAGGGTTTATTGTAGTTCCATACTAATTTTATGATTTTTTTCTTCTGTTTCTGTGAAGGATGCCATTGGAATTTTGATAGGGACTGTATTGAATCTGTACTTCTTTGGGTAGTATGGACATTCTGACGATATTAATTCTTTTAATCCATCAACACAGGATATCTTCCCATTTACTTTTGTCTTGAATTTCTGTCACCATTGTTTGATAACTTTCAGTGTACAGATCTTTTACCTCCTTAATTAAACTTATTCCTAAGCATTTTATTTTTTGATACTATCATAACTGGTATTGTTTTCTAGATTTCTTTTTCAGTTAAATTATTATTTGTGTTTAAAAATGCTACTAATCTCTGTATATTGATTTTGAATCCTGCAACTTTACTGAATTATTAGTTCTAACAGTTTTTAATAAGTCTTTGAGTTTTTTTACATGTAAGATAATGTTGTAAAGATAATTTTACTTCTTCCCTTCAAATCTGACTTCCTTTTATTTATTTTTTTTCTTATCTGATTGCTCTTGCTAGTACTTCCAGTACTATGTTGGACAGAAGCGGTGAGAGTGGGCATCCCTGCCTTGTACTGTGTCTTAGTGGAAAAGCTTTCAGTTGTTCCCTATTCATTATGATGTTGGCTGTGGGCTTTTCATAAGTGACCTTTGTTAACGTTAGTTGAGAAGTTTTCCTTATATGCCTGCATCTTAAGAGATTTTATCAAGAAAGGATGTTGAACTTATCAAATGCTTTTTCTGCACCAATTGAGATGATCTTGTGTTTTTTATCTTTCATTCTGTTAATATGATATGTCACAGTGGTTGATTTGCATGTATTAAACCAGCCTTACTTGCCAGGAATAAATCCACTTGGCCGTGATGTATAATCCTTTTTGTTGTGTTGTTGAATTCAGTTTGCTTACATTATATTGAGGATTTTTGCATCAATATTCATCAGAGATACTGGCCTGTAGTTTTTTTGTAGTGTCTTTATGTGACCTAGGTATCAAAGTGATAGTGGCCTCACAAAATATGTTTGGAAATATTCCCTCTAGCTGTATTTTTTGGAATAGTTTATGAAGTATTGGTAGTGATTCTTCTTTGAATGTTTGGTAGAATTAAGTTGTGATGCTATCTGGTTCTGGGTTTTTCCTTGTTGGAAGATTTTTCATTACTACTTCGATCTCATTATGTGTTATTGGTCTGTTTAAGCTTTCTGTTTCTTCCTGATTCAAACTTAGCAGGTTATATTTTTCTAGGAGTTTGTCCATTTCCTATATGTTATCCAATTTGTTACTATTAATGTATAATTGTTCGTAATAGTCCCTTATGATCTCTTTAATTTCTGAGGCGTCTGTTGTAACTTCTCCAATTTCATTTTTTATTTTATTTGGTTCTTCTTTTTTTTTTTCCTTAGTCTAGCTAGATGTTTATTTATTTTATTTTTTCAAAGAACCAAGTCTTGGTTTTATTGATCATTTTCTATGTTTTTTTGGTTTTTGTGCTCTATTTGATTTATTTCTGTTCAGATCTTTATTGTTTCCTTTCTTTTGCTAACTTTGCATTTAGTTTGTTCTTTTGCTCGCTCCTGTAGGTATAATGTTAGGCTGTCTATTTAATATCTTCTTTTTTCATGTAGACACTTAATGCTTAAAATTTCCTCATGAGTTCAAGACCAACCTGACCAACACGGGGAAACCATGTCTCTACTAAAAATACAAAATTAGCCAGGTGTGGTGGCACATGCCTGTAATCCCAGCTACTCAGGTGGCTGAGGCAGGAGAATCGCTTGAACCCGGGAGGCATAGGTTGCAGTGAGCTGAGATCGTGCCATTGCACTCCAGCCTAGGCCACAAAAGTGAAACTCCGTCTCAAAAAAAAAAAAAAAAAAAATCCTCTTAGAACCACTTTGGCCATATCTCATAGGTTTTGGTGTGTTGTCTTTTCATTGTTTCTTGTCTCAAGATATTTTTAAATTTCCCTTTTGGTTTCTTTGACCATTGATTGTTGAGGAGCATGTTGTTTAGTTTCCACATACTTGTGGTTTTTTTCAAGATTTTTCCTGTTATTGATTTCTAGTTTCATATTGTTGTGGTCAGAAATGATACTACATATGATTTCAATTGTCTTGAATTTAGATTAATTAAAAATAGTTAAATCTAGTTTTGTGGCTTAATGTATGATCTGTTCTGTAGAACGTTTCATATGCACTAGAAAAGCATATATACATTCTGCTGCTATTAAATGCAAAGTTCTGTATTTGTCTGTTAGGTCCATTTGACTCAAAGTACAATTCAAGTCCATTATTTCTTTGTTAACTTTCTGTCTGGTTAATCTATTGTTATTGAAAGTGGGATTTTGAAGACCCCTACTGTTATTGTATTGCTGTCTCTCTCTCTCTTCATGTCCTTTAATAATGTTTTATATATTTTGATGCTTCAGTGTTGGGTGTTTATATTTTTACAATTCTTATGTGCTCTTGATGAATTGACCCCTTTATCATTAAATTATGACCTTCTTTGCTTCTTGTAACAGTTTTTTTAAATGCCATGTCTCAGAGCACTGGAAACAACTATTGTTTATTTCCATGGGGTTTTTTGTTGTTGTTGTTGTTAGTTTGTTTTGCTTACTTACCAGTGATATAGTAGTTTTCAAAATTGTTACTTCTTACAATTTTTTTAGGCAAATTTTGAGAGTAGACTTATATTCTGACTTGTTAATCACCAATTATGTTGTTTTCTTGGGGAAAGTGAGTTTTCCAAATTCTTCGCTTAAAAGTGAGCTTTAATATTATAGCTCATAAGTTTAGGGACTTTTGAATATGAAAGTTGGATATTTTCTACTTCTTAAAAATAGTTTTCAGATAATGATATTGTGAAATTTTTTTGATACATCTATGTTTTAAAATAATAAACTGTTTCAGAGTTCTTTAATGTTCCTGGGAGTAACTCAATAATTCTATGGTATTTTTAAATAGGTTACAGAAGTATGCATATTCCATAAGAGATTCAAAACTGAGAGGTAGGTTTAGAGATAATTTTTGAATAGCATTTTCACATACAGATGAAAGGTGCCAATTATTGATGAAATATTAATAGCAACAGCTGATATATTTCTATTACAGATATCTTAAAAGATGGTGCTGCTTATCATCATGCTGGTATGGAGCTGTCAGATAGAAAAGTAGTTGAAGGAGCTTTTACTGTTGGAGATTTACCAATTCTTTGTAACTAAAACATATTTCTTGTGGATACTCTAAAATATTTTGGAAAATTATTTTTCAGAGGAAAAAAAGGAAAAGCTCAAATATTCTGCTTGTTTCTGCTTTTCTTCTGAGAATATAAAATTAAGTGGTTACCTATGCATGTAGATGTTACAGTAGATTCTTTGGCAATGTTTAGTTCTTTGTCATATTATTGAATATAGTGTAATTTGAAAAACAAGAAATTAATAAGTTTTTGGATTTAAGTGTGTTACTATTTTAGATTGTAATGTTCTTTTTTCCTTTCTAAATTTCTTATATATGAGTTTTTATTACCTTTATAAGAATGTCTTTTATTAAAATGTCTTCCTGAAGCAATAAAGTTAAATGGCTCAAAATTACTATGTCTTCATCTGATGCAGTTACTACCAGTACTTTAGCTATGGGAGTAAATTTGCCTGCTCACCTAGTAGTTATAAAATCTACAATGCATTATGCTGGAGGACTGTTTGAAGAGTACAGTGAAACAGATATTCTACAGATGATTGGTAGAGCTGGTCGACCTCAAGTAAGTGACAATAACTTTGCTTTTTATACTTAAAAACATGATAAAAACAAAAAAATTGTGTATTTTTTGATTAGCTGTCATAATTACATCAGGCTTAAAAGTAATATAGCAGAGAAAATTTACCTTTAATGGAGGAATAAAAGTAAAACAAGCCTCACCAACTGGGACATACTTCCTTCATTCTGTGTAAGCTTGCACTGGCTGATGAAGGGATGGGTTTATGAATGGGTATTCTGTTAAAGGTCTTTTTTTTATTATGACTTTTTGTTTGTTTGTTTTTTTTTTTTTTTTAATTCTGAATGGAGGTACTCAGCATTTTGGATGGAACAGGTTTATCTTATTTCGGGCTGTCACATTACAGAGCATGTAACATCCCTGGGTCCTAGCACTAAATGCTAATAGTGTTCCCAGGCATTATGACAAAAGTCAGCCCAAATACGTTTCAAAACATACCCTACTCTGACAAATACATGAATAAGTCATTTTTGTAGGTAGTATGGGAACACCAGGAAGAGCATATTTTCAAAACATTTGTAAATATTGTGTTATACAATTCTATAATTTCATAGAGTAATCAGATTATATGTAAACTGTACCAAATCTTACAACTTTTATGCAGTTACCGGAGTTTGTTTTGATTTTAACATTGCCAAAATTATGTTACATTGAAACCAAAGTGATATTTACAGCTATACTCTTGGAAGGCTTTTAAATTAAATTTTAGGTTAACAAAGTGAGAGCATTTTTAAGGCCTTTTCGAAGTATTATTTCAGACAAGGAGACTGTTTAATATAAAACGAAAGTCTTGAGTTATTGCAGAGGACTGGTACTAAAATGTGCTCTTCTTCACTAAATTTCTGTTTGTTTTTTCCCCAGTTTGACACTACAGCTACTGCAGTTATCATGACTCGATTAAGCACAAGAGACGAGTACATTCAGATGTTAGTTTGTAGAGACACTGTAAAAAGCAGGTAATACAAAAATGTTCCAAAAAGATACTAATGCTAATATAGCTTATCTTATTTCCTTTTAGAATATTAAAGGGAAATTTGGTTTGGAGATTTTTAAAGGCCGTTTTCTGTAAAGTTTTCAACAATTTAACTAGAAAGTTTGTGTCACTTTAGGGAATTTAATAATTTTTCTAAAAGTTAGAAGTTTTATTCACTGGTAGTTATTGGTAAGCATGTATTCTTGTTTATAACAAACCCTAATTTGTAATAAAGCCTTAGTAATTATGATTATATTATAATTTAAATATGAAATTATATAAATTTATAATTACTAATTTGTAATAAAGGAGAACTATTTTCACATCTTATTTTAATAATAGAGGAAATCTGGGACCTATTAGTAAGGTATTTAATGTATTCTCTTTTGGAGAAAATAGGATATAATTTATGCTTCAACTTTTGTTAAAGCAATAATCTGTCTTCTACAGCCATAGAGTAGAGAGATATATCTGAAGCCTTTTTAGAAGCTGAACTGACTTTTTAAGTTTTTCTTTTATGCTTTTGGAAATTAAGTTATAGTTCATGAATTAGTAAAGTGGCAATGGGTATATTATATATTATTAAAGTTAAAAATTAAGAGTTATGGCATTGAACTGCATATTTGTAATGCAAAGTTTTTTTTTTTCATTAGTTTGCACAGACATCTTATTGAACATTTAAATGCAGAGATAGTACTGCATACCATTGCGGATGTGAATATTGCTTTGGAATGAATACGATCAACTTTGCTTTATATCAGAGCCTTGAAAAATCCATCTCATTATGATTTGTTACTTTGACTTGGAAAAGTAGTAATTTTTTCAAGCCAGCTAGGTCTGTATTTCTACTAGTAAGTTACAGGATAGATTATAGAAACTAATAGATAACAGAACAAAAAGTAACAACAGTCCCAAATACGTTTAGAGACAAGAGCAGACAAACTGAGAAATTTTTATCTGTTTTACTTCTAGTGTTTCAACAAGGTTTGAAATCAGCACCGTTAAAAATATATCTAGTAGAAAAAAATTCAGCTCCAATAAAAATAGCAGAAATGTCTAAATCATTGAAAATAAGTTAAAGTTACAAAAAGTTTTGAATTTTGTATGTACTTAGTGTTCAACTACTCTTTCTGAGTTTATGACTGTTTATTTTTCAATTTATAAGAAATGAAAGTATATAGTGCTACTGTTGCTGTCACAATTTTCATCTTGCTTCTAAAGCTAACCTACATCTGGTTATGTGGCTTCCAGAGGGTTTTTTCATTCATTCATTCAACTTGGGGTTGTTGAATACCAAATTAATGCCTGACTTGTTGAATTATTCTAATACACAGAGGTTCAAAACTTTCAGATCTCAAAGAGTAATTAATATAAGTCTATATTAAAAGAATATCTATATAAATATTCATATCACTTAAAAAATTTGTTTCAACTAGGTAATACATTTACTTAGTTCAAAAATCATAAAGTGAAGGAATATATACAACTAAAATTGTTCCATATATATCCCCACCTACACAGTTGTTCAATTCCCATCTCTCCCCTTTCCCTCCCCTAGTTCTGTAATCATTGGTATATCTTTTTTGTATAATATTTTTTGCATATGTAAATAAGAAAATGTAATTTTATTTTTCCACCATTTAAACACAAATGGTGGCATATTGTATTCGTTTTCCATTCCTTTTAACAAATTACCCTAAAACAAATCATCCAGAAACAACCAGAATTTATTATCTCGCACAGCCTATGTGGGTTAGGAATCTGGGAGTATCTAAGCTAAGTGGCTCTGGGTCAAAGGCTCTCTTTAGATTGTAAGATATGTCAGCTACGGCTGCAGTCATCTGAAGGCTTTTCTGGATCTTGAAGATTCACTTGTAATTAGTCTCACTCACAGAGCTATAAGTTAGAGGCCTCAGTTTCTCACAGTTGCTGGTAGGCCTCAGTCTTTTGCCAGGTGGATCTTTCCTCATAGCATGGCAGCTGACTTTTCTCAGGATGAATGATCCAAGAGAGAAAGAGAGAGAAAGACAGAGACAGACTAAATCAGAAGCAGCAGTACTTTTTTATATCTTTGTCTCTGAAGTCACACATCATTACTTCTGCTTTATTCTGTTTTTTAGAAGCAAGTCACTGAGTCTTGGTCACATGAAGGCAAGAGGGATTAAGTTCATCTCTCAGAGGGGAGAATATCAAAGAATTTGTGGGCTTTTTTTTTTTTTTTTTGAGATAGTCTCTTTGGTTGCCCAGGCTGGAGTGCAGTGGCACAGTCTTGGCTCACTGCAACTTCCACCTCACAGGTTCAAGCAATTCTCTACCTTACCCTTCTGAGTAGCTGGGACTACAGGCACACGCCACCATGACTGGCTAATTTTTTGTATTTTTAGCAGAGATGGCGCTTCACCATGTTGACCAGACTGGTCTCGAACTCCTGATCTCAAGCGATCCACCTGCCTTGGCCTCCCAATGTGCTGGGATTACAGGCGTGAGCCACCGTGCCTGGCCTTGTGGGCATATTTTTTTAAACCTCCATTATTTTAGTCTTCTGCACATTCCTTTTTTTCTTAGTATGTCTTGGAAGCTTTTTTGAGACAGGCTGTCACTCTGTTGCCCAGGCTGAAGTCCAATGGTGTGATCACAGCTTATTGCATCTTCAACCTTCTGGGCTCAAGTGATTTTCTCACCTCAGCCACCTGAGTAGCTGGTACTGCAGGCCCATGCCAGCACACTGGCTAACTTTTGAAAAAAAAAATTGTAGAGGCAGAGCCTCCCTATGCTGCCCAGGCTGGTCTAGAACTTGTGGGCTCAAGTGATCCTCCCACTTCACTCTCCCAAAGTGCTAGGATTATAGCTGTGAGCCACCATGCCTGGCTGGAAGCTTTTTTTAATAGCTAAATAATATTCCATTTACTTATGTATCACCTATTTAAATGATCCCCAATTGATGGACATTTATGGTTTTTCTAATTGTTTGCTATTACAAACAATGTAGCCAAAAAATCCCTTCATTTTTTCCATGTATGAATCTATCTGTATGATAAATCTCTAGAAATGAAATTCCTGTGTCAAGGGATATATGCATTTATAAATTTGGGTAAATTTCTACCTTAGTAGCTCATATACCTATCAGCAGTGTTCAAAAGTGCCATATTTTGTTTCTCCAGCCTTTCCTTCAGGGTGTATACTTGTGTATTTTTATGAATATCAAGTATGAATATTGATATCTTTCATGTTTTAATTTTCATTCCTTCATTTTCATAGTTACTTTATTTTCTGTAGTTACTTTTTTGTATTGAGATATCACTTATAGTAAACTGCACAAATATGAGGTATACAGGTCAACGAAGTTTTATATGTATGTTTATACACACATATACACACATGTAACCACAGCTCAGATTAAGATATAGAACATTTTCTAGATGTTCCCTCATGCTCCTTTTCTGTCAGTATTTGCCCCCAGAAGTCAATACTATTGTAACTTATATACCATAGGCTAGCTTTATCTATTCTTGAAAAGATTCCATTTATATGAATATAAATCTTTTGATGAAAGGAAATTATTAATTTTAAATAATGTTTCTGTGAACATTGTTATATATATCTTTTGATACACATGTATAGTATATCTGTGGGTATGTGCCTAGGAGTGAAATTATTGAGTTAAAGGGTATGTGTAGTTTCAACTTCAGTGAATAGTACAAAATGTTTGTGTTACCAAACATGTTTTCATAGGAACATTCATGTTACAATGAAAGTTCGTTAGAAGATATTAAACACTTGACAGATATTTGCTATGTATAAAACATTTGGAAATTTATTCCAAACAATTCTTGTTAAAATATGATATTCCTGTTCATTGTTTCTATGGATATTTAAGCCTTGTTTGAACTCAATAAGCTGAGATTTTTTTTTCTTAATTAGACTACTCTTCCCTAGTTAACTGGGGTATAAACTGAGCCTGTAAAGATGAACTGAATTCTATTTTACTTTTTGTAAATTTTCATGACATGCAGGTTTTGCATCTGGATTGAACAAAGATGGAATTGAAGCAAAATTACAAGGTTAGATGCATTTCATTCTAAAAATTAGATTCTATATATTTTAGTGAAAAAGTTCAGTTATTGTGAAAGTAAGAATATGCTTTTGTAAATCATCTTTTAAAAAGGAAACTTGCCTGTAGAAAAATAATGTGAACTATTTCTTTTTCACACAAAAAGCTTGGCATATGTACTTTTTTGCTGAATTAATCAATTTATTCTGTCCAAATATCTTTCTTTGTATAATATGTTAACTTGGTTTATTTGGTTGTTATTCCTAACATCACCCTGGTCTTTGCCTACACATACACACTCTGTATTTTTTCTTTTTTTAAAAACAGACGGTCTTACTCTGTCACCCAGGATGGAATGCAGTGGCGTGATCATAGCTCATTATAACCTTGAACTCCTGAGCTCAAATGATCCTCCTGCCACAGCCTCCTGAGTAGCTGGGACTATAGGCGTGAGCCACCACAACTGGTTAATTTGGTAGTTTTTTTTAGAAAGAGAGTCTCACTGTGTTTTTCAGCCGACCTGGTCTCAAACTCCTGGCCTCAAGTGATCCTCCCACCTCTGCCTCCCAAAGTACCGAGATTATAGGTGTGAGCGACCATGCCCAACATGTATTTTTTCTTTTCTACTTAATTTTAATTGAAAAATATAAGCCTAGATTGATTATGGGCTTCGTATCCCAACCTGGGCCAAAGATGTATTCCTATCCAACCTCAACTTTGTTATTTAGTTAATCAACTGGTATTTCTTACTTGTTTTTTAAAATGTAAAATATTGATAGGCATTTATTCAGATTAGAAATTGCTACTTTTCATTGAGTTGAGACTGTCTCTTTAGTAAAAGAAAAAAGTTAGATCCTCTAAAAATATATAGCTAATTTAAATTTATTCTCTACTTGTATTACATGTGTGGCAAGTAAAAATGCAGAGATAAAGATAAAGCAGTAAAATTGTCTTGCTTAAAGAATAAATAAGTTGTTAAAACATGGTCATAACCAATAGCATGTATTTATAATGCTGCTGTATTCATGTTGAAATACAGATTATAAGTTGTGTTATCTTCAAGGTATTGATTAATTTTGTAATGGGATTTTAAAAATTAAACATATATTTTGAAAATAATGATCAAATACACTCAAGAAATTAGACAGTCCAAGAGGTATATTGCTATATTCAGATAACTTTAATGTTTTATCTTTTGTTAAATTAGCAGAATCACAGCTCATATTTGCTTTATCTTTGGTCACTATAGGGTTAGCAAAGTTTTGCCTTCTAAACAAAAATAGCTAAATATAACTGAATATTAAGGTTTTGGTATTGTAGCAGAGAAAAATAGTAACATCTTTTCCTCATTCATTGCAAGGTTCACAGCTGACACTCCTGTAACAAGACAGATTAACAAGAGAAAAGCCTAACAAATTTATTTAATCAAAGTTGTATATGATTTGGGAGCCTTCAGAAATTAAGACCCAAAGACCCAGGGAAAACTGTGTTTCTATGGCAAATCTAATGGAAAAAAATGGATAGTTGTCGAGAAACATGACTGGACAAAAAGGGTATTATCTAATGTTAAAAAACTGGGCAGAACTTAACAAGGCCTGTTTGTTCAGATTCTTCTTGGCCTCTCTGTGTAGCATTCTTTCTTCCTGGGCATGAGACAGGACTATTCCATACCGTGGAATGAGGGTCTTAGAATTTAGACAAAGTAGGTCAGAGAATTCCTTTGTGACCATGTTTCACACAGAAAGGCAGGGAAAGGTCAGAGTGACCTTCTTGTTTCTGAGGTCCTCTCAGTCTTACTGAGTTTGAAATGCTTTAGGTCAGCATTTTCTGAGCACTGCCATTATCCTTGGGGATCTGCCTTAAATCTCTCAGGAAGGATCGTTAGCATAGTATATGCTGTTTCCTAAACTTGATTATACTTTCTTGCCCAGTATACTCTAATAGCTTCCCCATTACTCTTAGAATAAAATACAAATTTTCACCACAGGCCACAAAATCCTGCTTGATATCTCCCTGCCTATCTCTTGTCACTTTATCTCTCTTTTATTCTACTCTCACCAAATTGGCCTTCTTGCTATTCCTTAAATACACCAAGCTTGTTCCCACATCAGGTCCTTTGCACATTTTGTTCCCTATTTTTGGAACACTCCTTGCATACTTTACATGGTGTGCACCTTCATTTTATTCAGGTCTCTGTTCAAATATTAACTTTTTAGAGAGGTCTTCCTGTGGTGTATCTTACTTCAATCCACCTTTACTGAGAGGAGGACAAAATGATTCTAATGTTGTTATTGTTGTTTTCCTTGTTTTTAGAAAAAGTAATGTGTTTATTTTGACAATTAGGGTGAGGATAGCCTTACTCTATATCAAAATATATAGCATTTATGAGAAATATATATAGGTTGGGCATGGTGGTTCATGCCTGTAATCCCTTTGGGAGGCCAAGGTTGGCAGATCTCTTGAGCTCAGGAGTTTGAGACCAGCCTGGACAACATAGGGAGATCCCACCTTTACAAAAAGTTATTTTAAAAATTAGCTGGTGCGGTGGTACATCCAGCTACTCGGGAGACTGAGGTGGAAAGATTGTTTGGGTCTGGGAGGTTGAGGCTGCAGTGAGCTGTGATCATGCCACTGTATTTTAGCCTGGGCAACAGAGTAAGACCCTGTCTCAAAAAAAAAAAAAAAAAAAAGAAGAAAGAAAAGAAAAGAAAAAAAGGAAAAGGAAATAACCATAAACTTTAGTTAAAAGATTGAAAATTCTATACAATCATTCTATACAGGTTCTTAGCCTTATGTTTCTTTATAGTATATGTGAAACCATATATTTATTTGTATGTTGATTGCTTTCTTCTGTAAAATATAAGTTCTAAAAAGAAAAACCTTGTCTTGTTAACTGCTGTAAACATAGAGCTTAGAATCATGCTCAGCTTATGGTAAAGTAAGCATTTTTCATTGACTTACCGAGTAATGGGTAATGAACGGATTTAATAGTGGGTAATTAAGAAAATTAGAAAAGACTTCAAAATCTTTACTTCACCAAACACTTAACACTATCAAGCTGTCTAAACAGTGCTGCTTAAACTAAAGTATTTCCCGAAGAACTCTAAGGGTATTTTTTTGAGTGGCTGCTCTATTTAGGATTGAACTATTACAGTATTCCCACTGTCTGCTCTGAACTATCTTGTATCTCCTGGAGCATAGCATGAGGCAGAGAAGGAACTGTAAGCAGAAGATCACTACAATTGCTCTGATCCCCATCAATAGTGAGCATGAACTAGCATTGCTTCCTGTCAGAGAAACAAAAGTAAACACCTGAAAGCATCAGTTAAAGTTGTTGCTTCAAGAAAGTGGCAAAGAGGGAGGAGGGGGAGAACTGGTGGGTTTTGGAATAATCTTTGCAGAACTATTTGACTTCTTATACTTTGTGCATATATTAATGTATCTTTGATAGAAGTTTAAAGAAAAAATAAAAGAAAAAGAAAATCATTGCCTTAATGGAGGGCAGATAGCAAAGTGGTTACTTAGACCTGGAGCAAGGTACGTAGCCTCTATTCTTTAGTTTCCTAACCTATATATGAAAATATCGGTGTCTACCTTATTGTGATGTTTTGAGGATTAAATGAGGTAATACTTGTGTATCATGTATTACTTAAAACTCCAAGTTTTAAGTGTTATTTCTACTTACTGAATGTTCTTTTTATTACTTGTATTCTTGTTACTTTTAGAAAATGTTTTTAGCGTATTAGTTAGCTTTTTTATTTAAATGAGCTTTTTCTTACTGCTTAATTAGGGACTGTGGTTCTTTTAGAACAATTACACAGTAATAACAACTTTAACATATTTAATAATAAATTATTTTGCCCTACTTCCCTATTTTACTAAAATTAAAATGTGTTTTCTATAATTAAACAGAATTATGTTTGAAGAATCT